GATGCTGTGGAAGTGTGGGCATGGTTGGAATTTGGGCTACAAGAACAACAGATATGGCATGAGTGTAAAGTGTTGGCTGACACTTTCATACTTTATTTCCAGTTGAAATACTCATTTTCAGAAAACACAAAGCTGAGAGCCTGGTTTAATCCCAAGGGCTAAGGCCACAAGCACAGGCCTGTGCTGTCAAAGACTTAATCAGAGCCAGCAGCAGGCCAGGGAGCTTTAATTTATCATGTGCGTGTTCTCATGGTCTGGTTAAAAACTCATTTGTTTCTGTGGGTGGTCCACTGCAATGTGGGCTTGACATATTATTTGGGTAGTTTTTTCTTTCATGAAAAGGACACAAGTCTTCTCCTTGCTTGTAACAACATTAGATTTTGACATAGTGTCACAAACATGAGGTGTGTCTGCATAAGTGGCTCAAAAAGAGAGCATCCTTGCTTTCTTAAATGTTGCATGGCATGCACATCTCTTTGGCAGGTTGATGTTTGTTTGGAAATAGGTTCTCTTGATCCTTCATTTCTTTCTCCATATCTAGTGAATCTGTTTAGGTGCCTTCTCTAAAGTGTTTGGATACCTGAGAATTTTCTTTTGTTAGCTTTTGCTGCTGGTACTGTGATTTTGAAAGGAAGTATTCCCGAAGAAAAGGGAGTTTAAAGGAAAGACTGACTCTTCTGCCAAGTTGTTGAACTTCTTCTGTTTGCTGAAGAGTGCCAAACATCAAATTGGCAGAGTATCTTGGAGCTTTTGTTTTTGAAGGTGAAGGGGGAAAGTTTAGTCCAAAATACATTTCATAAAGGTAAAGAATGCAGTATGTTTTTAAAGTATTTGAAGATGAAAATCCTCAATGTGTATTTTATTTTTATGAGCTCTATTGATACTATCAGATTAGCAGATTAATTCCATACTTATTTTTCTAACTTTGTATTGACAAACCCAACCATTCAGAATAAAGATCCATCTTCAGGACAACAGTTTATAAATAATGTGTATTTTTAACTGCATTGCAAGGAAAGTATATAATAATTTTTGTCTGACATGCTCTTCAGACATCTTTTCAATTTTCTGGAAAGGAGCTGTTGGAAAGCTCAGATTCTTGTGAATGCAGGAGCTAGAATTTGAAAAAAAACCCTCAACTTTGAAACTTGAGATGAAATCCTGACATTTTAACAGCATTGCTGGTCTGGCTCTGCTTTCCTGCACTTTGTCAGTCCCGATTCAGAGCAAAAGTATTTGCCTTCTTCATATCCATTGAATTCTTTTGTCTCTGGTAAGGCAGCTACAAGCTTGGCTTGTGATGGTGGCAGAAGTCATTCTGCAAGGATCTGGTTGATCTAACTTCTATAAATTTGGGGGTTTGAAATGAACTCAGAGAAGACAAGGAGACTTTTGTTGTGAGCAGGGCGAGGTCCTTTATATGTGGTCTGCAGCTCAGATGTTTGTTTTTAAGTCAGGGCAGTGAGAACTCTTAGAAATAAACAAAGAAGAGAGCAAAATTCCCCCACTTAAAAATCAGCCTTAAAATGGTAAACACCGGTAAACAAAGCTGAGAATAATCAGGGGGGAAATAATTTGTGGTTTAAAGAAAAATGAGCTCCTGATTCTACCAATAAACACCTGTTCAACTTTATGTGTTTGGTCTAGTGACTGCTGGGGGTTACAGCTCTGGAGCATGACTCCACTAGTGGAAGCACAAGTTCAAGAGCCCTTCAGCACAAAAGTGGACTGCAGGACAAAATAAGGGTTTCTAGAGCTATAAACAAATTTGAACAGAAAGAAGAGTGTCTGGACTATTTTTCCGACATCCAGGCATAAGCAACATCAAGCCTGTGTTTATTAATTATGAGTTGTATAGCTTTTCAGGTTGAAATAATTTTAAATGAAATAAGTCTTTAAATTTAATCGTATTTAAATGAAATAAATCTGCCAAGCTGAGAGTGTCACCGGAGTGTAAAGGCAGAGAGGCTGAGGTGGAGTTGTGGCTAAGTGGGAACACTGTGGTGAGCACTCACAGGAACTGTGTGGGCAGGAAATAGTCAATGAAAAAACAAAACCAACCAGGAATGGTGGCCAAGTGTTTTCATAGGGAAAAATTGGCAGGAAAATGCCCTTGTATTAAAAGGTATTAAGAAGTGCTCTGCAGAAGGGTAACCCAGTAACTTTTATTGCTGGCGTGTTTCTGTTAGTTTAAACGCTTTTTCCCAAAACAAAAATATAAACCAAGCATGTTTTCAGTATTTCTTCTTCCTTTGTTTGGTATTCTGTACAGTTCATCATCTCGCCTGGGACTTCTGTGTAGTACTTCAGTGGAAAAAAATGTCAATATTCCTTTAGAATCTCAGGCTTCATTTATCACTGGCTCTAATTCTTTCCCCCAACTGATAAACTTTCTGGGGTGCAAACTTATTCAAGTGTATTTTTTATTTATATTTTTTTAGGTCAACTGAATTCTCCCAGGAAAGAGAACATGCCATCTTCTATAACAATGAACTTTATATGAATTATAGTTGTATCCAGAGATCTTTTAGTTTATTCATGTTCCAGGCAGATTCTTTTGTCTACATGAAGAATATAATCTAGCATAACTTCTAATTACTTCTTTTGCAAGGCCCTGTATCAGCATCCACTTTATTAACTGAAAAAACATTTGTCTATTTTCCCCCTGTGGAAAGTAACAATTTTTTTTCCCTTATAAAAATAGTCTCTTCCATCTGTTTTATGATTAATCCTCATCTGAATTCTTCCCAACACTAGAAATATGGAAACCAGACCGTGGTACAGTCTTGCAGCTTCACAGCCACCTGGTATGCCATATCACAAGCACACAGCTTAAATATAAATCTGATTTATATTGTCAAATGTTTTACTAGAAGAACTGATGATAACTAATGTAGCAGCTACTGAAAGTCCTGTTATTTTTTTGGTCAGATATTCTTTTCCCTTAAAACATGTCCAAGCACAGTAGGACAAAGTGGGTAAAATTAATTCCATAGATTTAATAATTTAATTTAATAGTTAATAATTTAATTAAACTATTTTAATAGCTGACATATTTTCCAAATTTACTTTCTGAGTAGATTTTCTAAATATTTTCTACTGTTGTACTGGTTAAGGGCCAACTGGGTGTCTTACCAAGGGAATGCTCTGTGTTGTCAGTAGATCTGTAGGACTTGTGGGCTTTTTGAGTTGTGGAAGTTATTTGTTACATCTTCTGTAATGGAAATTTCTAACCTAAAAAATTACTTTTTATATGAAAAAAAACCAGATTTACTTGCAGAATTTCAGCCTGTGCCACATAATTTAATTTTATGGCTAGTAGACTAAATTTTTTTGTACTGTTGTTGCTTGTTGCTCGTGATGTCAGAGTTAACTTGTGAGATGCAGATGGTTAAGCTGTGGGTTCAGTTCTGCCTCCTTTGGCCTGGGAGGTGACCATTAGACCTGAGCTAAACATCCTGTTCCTTGATGCAGGCATGTACATAAGTGCCTATGACCAGGCACCTAATTCTGTTTGACAAGAAAAATGAGAAGAAGAAATTATTACCACAAGAAATGCTGTGATACTCCTGCTGCCCTGAGGAAAAACATTGTGAGCATGCCTTATAATCCCTTGAATTGAAGGGAGTCTGTCCTGGAAACTTCAGCACGGTTCCAGGAGAAGTGTCACCCTAGGTAACAGTGGTTTCTTTCCAAGACACTTGTTCCTCTGGGTACAGTTGCTATTTGTAAATGATTCAGACTAATGTCTCAAAGTCTGGGTGACCCCTCAGTCCTGACACAGGGCCACTGTGTTAACCTTGCTTTGTCCGTGGGCATTTTGGGCAAGGCAGTTCTTGGGGTCCCCAAGTTTTAGACCTAGGTGTCAACAGGGATGATACTGTTCTTTGTGAGATGGGAATATGTCATGTAGTGAATATTCTGCTGTTGGGTGTAGTAGTTTTTAATTCTTCTTCCTCAGCTTGTCCCTGATGCTGCTCACAAGAGTACTGCACTGTAAATTAGAATAAATTTGGGGAACTAGAGCTGTGATTTGAAACACTGAGGTTTCCCTCAGTGGCAAAGCTCTTGTTCACTCCAGAGAGAGCAGGATCGTGTCTCCTTTCAGAGACATGCAGCATATTTCAGTTAGTGCACATTACATAACTTGTCCCACATTTCTTTCTCTTTTTAGTATCCCTGTGTTATGGGAAATTATGTTCCCATTAATCATTATAGCTGCTCGTCTCTGTGAAAATAAATTATCCTGTGCTGCCCGTCCTTCACAGGAATATATTTAAATGACAACAAGGATATGTCCATGATTGGTTCAGGGAAGGGAGTGTCAGCTAATGGGGCTTTGCTGCTGCAGAAGGATGAAAGCAGGATTTGTCTGTGTACTCAGTGCATTGCAATGCTGTGTGGTGGTGTCACCTGCCAAATAAGATTTCCCCTGTAGCACATGCCCAGCTCGTTTGAATGTCCATGGAAACCGTGTACACCCATTGCAGGGGGTCCTGCAGCAGAGTCCTAAATGTACCAGTGAATCCCACTGCCTGTTTGGTCACACCTACAGCTGAAAACACTTGGGCTGGAAAAGCAGAAAGAACCTATATGACTGGGAAAAACCAGCAGGCCTCTAAATTCCTGTTTTAGCTTGTCACCAGCTTTATTGAGACTGTTTTTAGGAAGCATTTAAAATCTAGACGTCTAAAATTACACATCCAACGCCATGTTCAGGCTGCAGATCAGGGGGCTGATTTTAAGACGTGATGGGCATTTATGCTGTTTACTGTTTTCAGGTCTCAGCACTTCTGAAAAGTAAGTAATTTTTATTTACATGTTTTGAACATGAATTTAGTGACTTACCTTATCCAACAGTGTAAATATAGAGGCCAGGTTATTTTTAGGCTTCACAATGTGATACTGGGCAAAAGGACTTTTGACACAGAGATTGCTGGTTACCAAACCACAAACTTGGACCAACATTTTTCAGTAACTGTCTGTTTCTCTTTATTCAGGACAGGGGAAGACCGAGAGAGCAAGTTAAAGGCTGGTTGCAGATGACTCTAAGGGAACAGATCCTCTACTGGGAGGTCAGTTTTCTCCAGTGAAGAGATCTGAGGAAAATTCACCCTCAGGACATACTGAGTTTTCTTTTCAAGTATTTGTAAGAAGTGAATTCAGGATTAGTTTTATGTGGAAAATGAATTTCTTATTTGGCCTCTGAAGAGAGATGGATTTGCATTGGTCTTATGGAAGAACACATGTATTTTTGAAAATGAGTAAACAGTACAAAAAAGACCAGAAGTTTTAGGTCAAAATGGGTCCATTTCATTCAGACAATTAAGTACTTAAGAATCAAGCTTTTCTGCTGACCTTCAATTCTGTGCTGAGAAATGAAATCCTTACACAGTGAAGGTAGCAGAAATGAAGAAGACATCTAAATAAACTTTCTGGTCATCTTCAGCTGACAATCATGTGACCAAAGCAAGGAATATTCCTCTTGCAACCCTGTAATATTTGCTGACATTCCAGGCATTGAGTGTCAGTGAACGGCTTGTGAAGCAGGGACACTTGGATGTGTTTTAAAAGCTTTCAGAGATTATTAAAGTAGCAGAATGATTATTTATTAGTAAGGTGACACGTCTAAAGCTCAAAGTCTGCCTTTGGCCTTTGTGGGGGTTCTTCCCAAGGTTTTTTTGCATAGGCAGACTCAGTATTAGCAGAGAAGATGTGGGGTCTATTGATTTTGTGGGTTTTTTTTCCCAATAACGAGTCATGAGATGTAGACCTCATTTCTGAAGTTATGGTCTGGCTGAACTTGTTTCCTGTTTGATGTTTTCGTTTTCAAAGTAGCTTAAGAGTTTCTGTGTTGTCACTGTTAATTACCAACCATCTTGAGTGAATTTTCGCTAAATGCTACTGAGGATGTTGTTGTTCTGCTTTGTGACTTCTCCAGTGTCTGGGTATTTCCTGGTGATCCCATTAACATTGAAGTTAATTGGAATACTTCATGGTTGAAATGCAGAAAGCCTGCAGTTGAGCAGATGTTCTTTTTCTGAGTTAGCATAAAAGTACTGAATTAGAAGTACCATTTATTTGTTGTAGTGTCATCAAGATGTGTCATGACCTTACCTTTGAAAAGTTCGAGCATTGTTCCCAAACCCAGTTAACAGGCTCTGCTTGTTGGTGCCTAACCTGATTAGGTGAGATTGAATACTGTATCATTAGATTAAGCAAGTATTAACTTCAAAACTGTAACACATCACAACTGAAGAAGTGTTACTACATTATACTCCCAAATACACCTTTCAGTTTGACCCTCTGAAGTGCAAAATATTGCAGTAGTTTGCATTGTGTAGAGAACAGCTCCTATACTACTGTGCAGTTGTTTTAGGGATAATTTCTCAGCTTGTGATTAATTCTTGGCATTTCTTCCATTTTTTTCCTTTAGCTGTTATTGGAGTCATGCAGACGAGATCCCTCAAGGAGCAGGTTGCCACAGTAAGTGTGTGTTTTACAGTATATTTGGAAGGTGTGCAATAGATTGGATACTATTCTTTACCAAGTAGGAGCAGCAGCCTTGGAAGTAATCCTTGCTGGATTACACCATCGTTAGTCTGCCCCCCAAATTTTTTTTTATAAAAAGTAATTTACTGCATCCAAATAAATATGAACTCAAATACATAACTCTTACACATGAAGATTCAAAGACCAAATTTTGATCCATAGTTGCATCTCTGCAAGAAGACATATTTTAAAATAGGAATACATCGCTCCTGAAACCTGCTGTATTTCCTCTCAGTCCTATTGCTTGTAATTCTTTCTTCACAGATTCATTTAGTTTAGAAACATTCCAGGACTAATGGCACAAAACAAAACTCCTACCATCTCATATATTCCACTTCACAAGAGCCCAACCGTGCCATAAATATTTTCCATTCTCAGTCTTGATATTCTACAGATGTGGAATTAGAACTCTTCACACTTTTGAGGGAATGCCTGGTAGGATTGTCCATGTGAGTTTAACTTCCCTGAGTAATTTCTTCATTGCTTTAGCTCAACCTGAATTGTGCCCAGTGGGGTAACACTTGCTGTACCAACCCTTAATTCAGATAAAGCTTATCTGTTAAATCAAACAGGAGCTGCCAGCATTTACTTTTCCAAATTCCTCTCTTGCTTAGGACAGAACTAAAAGAAACAAGAAACTGTGGTTGGCAAAGGTCTGGAACTTCGAGTTGTCTTTATAGTTCCATCCCTCAAAAAATACACTACAAGAATAAAAGTCATTGGTGCAGGACTCAGGGGGTTGCCTCGGGCTCCCTTCCATCTGAACTCTGACAGAAGCTATTCTTGAGTTATTGCACTAGGAAAAAATGGTGTGTATAATATAGAGAGGACACACATAAATACAAAGGCTGAAGGTTTTTTCCCGAGGGAAATTTTCTCTTGGTGCTTTGATATTTGATTTAGGGCAGATAGCCATGACCTGTAGCGTGTAGGAAAGAAGAGGCGTGGATGAGCAATTAGGGAGGACAGATCCAATGTGTTTGCCTTTTTCCTTGTATTGTATTTACTGTTAGGAATGAAATTCAAATAAACAGCTATATAATACTGTCATCATCCTCTTTGGTACTGGATGATAACTTGGGCCTGCATGTCAAGGAAGCTGCAAACACCCAAGTCTGCATGATTTTTGTCTGTGCATATAATCTATTTTAATTATGCCAACTTCCTTCTCTTTTCCCCAGACACTGTGCCTTCGTATCTTGCATGGAAATGGCTGGTATTTTATATCATGTCTACAGTGCTGAAATTTGTGGACAAGTATTCATATAAACTTACTGTATGTTTGTTAGTTATCCTAAGACTGTTCCTTACTGCTGTGCTTTTAAGGAAGATTCATTAGGAGTGGGTGTGCTGTTTTCTATTCATGTACTTGTTGTCTTTTCTTCTTTTTCCAGAAGATTTCTCTTTCCAGGAATTAGCATTGCTAACTCATTATAACAGATTTTTTTTTTTTGAGCTTTTTGTTTATAAAAATACTTTGCCAGCACACTGATTTTATCTACATTTATTGTTATGCCACCTGTTTGGAAGCAGAGGTTAATTGTTAACTCCACTTTGTTGAGAAGGGGGCAAGTTGGTCAAGTTTTGCTCACTCATTTGTAAGTTAATCATGCGACTTCATATTACAGTAGTTTTCAAGGAGTCACAAGAGAAACTCTTACACCATCTACAGTGACATAATTTTTCATGTATGTCACCTTTTCCCCAGGTTAGTGGAAGAAACTCCTTCATCTGATGCCTTTGAATATGGCTGAGCCATTCTTTTCCCTTTAGTGGCACAGCTGAGCACCTGGGTAGCAGCTGAATGTCTCTTTTGCATCACTGTTGGGGCAGATACAAAACCAACACGTGCTCCTTAGTAACAGACATCAGACTGAAGACATTGCCAGTGATGATTTATCAGTGGTTCGTGAGGAAACTCATGATGTAACAGGAACTTCTGATTTTGTTTATTTGGATGAGTTTTGTTTGCTTTATTACAGGCTTCAAGTGAGACCAGAGTGGTGACATGGCGCTTTCATTGTGATAAGCAAATGCACACTCCCCTTTTATTCTGGCTTTTTAAACTACTCCTTCTACTGCCCTTTGAGGTTCATCTCTGTTCACTCAGCTGTGGTTACTATAAGTAAACAACTCCAAAGCCTCCCATTCTTTCAGAATTTGTTGAAGTTTGTCTGGCAGACTGGGCCATAACTCAATCAGTCTCGTGAATTACTGGATTGTTTCTTCAAAGGATCTGGAGCTTCCTGGCTATTTGTTTGCTGAGCTGTAAGAATATGATTGTGCTGGTTGTGAAGTATGCATTGCTGCTATAAATAGTCAGTGGATTATAGGTGAAGGCAAGAGCCAGGAATGCCTGAGTTGAGGTCCAGTGTTGCCATTGTCCCAACAGCCCTGGGCAATGCACATGTTCTGTCATTGTCATGTTTTCTTCCATTTGTGCAGCGGGATGATGACGTCTGTCCACCCTGTGGGGTTGAGGTCAGGAATAATTAGCTTGTGTGTCTGTAGCCCTCATTAAATAGGGCTGTAGGAATACCTCCTATACCATCTTCTTTAGCTCAAACTGTAAAGTTTTTATGGCATTTGAGTTCTGCTTCTGCTCCAGTGTATATGTGGACACACTGATAAGGGCACTGTCTGGTGTCCAGACAGTTCTCCAGCTGTGCCATAGCTTCTCTGTTGAAATTGAGGCCTTGTCAGGGAGAGGAAATAATATGGATTATATGGATTGTGTACCATTGCCCTCTGTTGGACAGCACTAGGCTTAGTTAAAGTGCTTGTCCTGTTTTGGGCTTGAAAAACTTGAGAGGGATAAATATGATAATATTCAGTAAGTAAGTTTGAAGCGTTTAGTGACAAATTGATCATCTTTTAGCAGAAAATAAATGAAATTACCTAGCCAGAGTAGTTATTGCTGCTAAGTACAGGACTGCATAGGGTCTTCACGCTGCTGAGTGTCCGTAACATGTTGTTCTGCTTAGCTTTTTAATAAAAAAAGATGATAAAATTAAGTATAATAGCTTTGATTTATTTTTATTTACTGGCATAGTATGCCAGTAGGCTTAGCACTGTTGCCTACTGACTTGTCTTAGCTCTGTTTTCTTGTGCTCTCCCAGCTGTGTTTCTGTCTGTGCCATTGTATGACAAAGGGACCGGAGTCAGGTGTTCTGGGGGTTGCACCAGTCCCTAAAACACAGAGGGAAATAGAAGCTTGGAAACCTACCCCATCCTGTGGTCTAATATAATAGAATCTTTCTGCTTTACTGGTAACAAACAATTTTATTTTTATTCCTGGTTTTTGCCTGTTTTTAACTATGCTTTTTTAGAAGGTTTATATGCTTTGTCAAAAAATACAATGCATCTCACACACTCTAGAGCATCCAAAAGGGAGATCGTGAATAATGGCAAAAATTTTAAATGGGAAAGTAATAAATATAAAAGGCACAAACAGTCAAATTATTGTCTGGGGAAAAGAGTTACAATGTGCCCTTAATCCTCACTGTAGTTGTGAACTTAGTCCTGAAGCACCTTTGTGTTCTCTGCCCTCCTGTACAGTTTATGGCAGAGCATTCAAAGGAGTAGAAACTGTTACAAAGGTCACAAGGGAAAAAATAAAGCTACTGTTGCTACTCTCTGAATGTTATCCATTTGGATTGCTGCCATCCAAACCTCTGGTCATCCTGCTGCTCACTTGAGGTTAAATACACGGGAGTCACATCTAATTCCAGCAGTGTACACCCAGAACACAGTGATCTGTATCTAATTCTGCAGGGTAAATAACAGCTCACTAAAATACAGGAGGAGATGAGTGGGGATCTGTTCCTTTGAGAAACCTCCACAGTGATTTTGAAAAAGCATCTACCTAAACTTCGAGATCTTTTTGGCTGCCTTAATAACAACCATCATCTCTTCACTGTCCTTGGGTGGATTATCTGGTCTGTTGTCGATCCATGTCACAAGTACAGAGCTGTCCAGTCTGACCTCTCCAAACCTAGATGGGTTCAGAGCAATGTAAGCCTGTGTCTGGGGTGCTGGGGTTTCATTTCTCATACCAGATCAAGCCTGGGTAGGTGAGGAGCAAATTCAGGTGCAGCTCTGCAAGAACATGGTTCCAGAGCTTCTGAGGCTGGGCTGGCATTGCACAGCCAGGCAGCACAGTCCCACAGCCATTAGTCCTCTCAGAACTCACTGCACCAGGATGTGCTGTAGCACAAAACCCACCTCAGATCCAGAAACACAGCTGTGTATTCTGTTTCTTTGTTTGCCTTTTTATTTGACTATCCAGCTTAATGAGGTGTTGCTTGTACTTTAACCGTGTACTTATCCTAATGTGATCAAAATTAAAATTTCACTTCCTGTAACAGCTTCACCCTTTAAAAAAATAAATTCACATACCAAAGATTTTGCAATAGTTGTACTGAAGAAATACCTGTATAAGTAGAAAGAGAGAGAGGGACATGTATAATCACCTGCCTTCCTGCACTCTCCACTCTGTCAAAAACTCTTTGATCCTCATCTATCCACATATCCTGTAGACTTAGCATGCAGCCCACCTATTTTATGCATTTATTTGGGGATGGAGTTACTCTCTTTTTAAGAATGCCCCTCCTCATTGATTATACAGGAGGCCAAGACAGTAACCTGAGCCTCAACAGAGTCTCAGCTGAGATAACTCTCCATATGTTTGCACATAGAAAAGAGCAAGTTCCCAGTAGAAGGTGACATGAGAAAATCTGGTTGGTGCCTTATTGTTTTGTCAATCACATTTTTTATCCTACAGGCTTCACAAATCTACCAAACTGCTGACACCAGTCCAGTGCTTGTGAATTCACAACCAGTTGTGATTTGTGGTGCTGCACATTTCTCTGTGAGGGGAAATCCTTGCCCTGCTGACATAAGTGGTAAATTAGCAAAGCTCCCAGTGTCTTAGC